GCGTGCGAAACGCTGTTTTGGGTACATCGTCGTTGGTGATGCGCAACTGATGGTACCCCTGTGCGAGGTCCAATGCGCTAAACCATTGGGCACCCTAGAGGCGATCAAATAGATCCTCAATGCGAGGCAGCGGATATAGGTTCTTAATTGTGATCTTGTTTAAGGCGCGATAGTCGACGCACATGCGTAGGCCTCCGCCCTTCTTATTAACAAACAAGATTGGTGCACCGTATGGTGATGCGCTTGGTTCAATCCATCCCTTTTTCAGATAATCCTCGATTTGTTGCTTAGCCTCTTCGTACTCAGCTGGACTGAGGCGATACAGAGGTCTAAATGGTGGTGCCTTTCCAGGCTCCACTGGAATGGTATGACCCACAGCGCGGTCTGGGAGAAGTCCATCAGGAATTGGTTCGAAAACCTCCTTGAATTCCTCCGCCAGAGCCTTTATCTGAGGAGGAAAGTCCTCGATCTCAGGAGACGATTGTGTGGTTTCCTCTAGCTGTACAATAAATAGTGTATCAGCTGATTTTGCATCCTGCCCAAATTGATTCGCAAGGGCGAACTGGACGTCGGGGCGATCAGAACGTGGGGCATCAACAATGTTTACATCCCCTGAAATATGCCACCGAACCACAACACCATTCTTAGTGAAAGTTACTGTGTTATGTTGAAAATCAAGGATGACCTCATTAGCTCGAAGCCAGTCCATTCCGAGAACAAGGTCTACGCCTGCCAGTAATGGAAGGGCGTAAACGTTAATGGTCTCGTTATAGTCTTGAATTTCCATATTGATACGTGTCTGCCTTTTGCTTGGGATGACTCGATCGTCACCAAGACGAATGGGGCAAGACGGCCCTTCAACGAGGACCCCACGACTTGTGGCTCTGTTTTCATCAAAAAGAGAAACAGTCGCGCCCGTATCAACAAGAATCTTCGCTTCATCCCCGTCTATTCGACCCACCAGCAATAGGTTTTGTTGATGTTTTGGTCGAATGGGGCATGCAACGATGCGAGTTGGTGGGAGATAGTATGCCTTGACATTGTGCTGTGCTCGACCATAGGATCGAGTGTCAGGCCACCACATGTGATATCCCTTGTCCCACGCGGCAAGTACCGTCCATCCCTTAAGCATGGGGAAGTGTTTGCCTTTGATTGTTCAAGTCACCAGACTGACCGAAGTCAATGGGTGCTCCTGGGTGCAACGACCCACCAGTTCCATTACGGAGGGCAATGCATCTACGTTGCAGCAAATGACAGAGAACTTATCTCTCAGTGTTTTGATAGATAGTTGTGTAAGTGGGTGCAATCGAGGTAGGAAAACAGAATTTTCACTCAAAAAAGAAGCAAACAAACAAGAGATTTTGCACTCAGCAAGTTTCTCTAGCTTTAATAGATCGTCGTCACGAAGGACGTAAGCTTCATCACCTCGATCTACCTGTCCAGCTAGGTACCCACACCCTAGTTGGACTTGTGAAAATCCTGGCGCGAGCCTGAAGGTCCATCTCCCTTCTTGTTCGCCTGCTGCGGCTTGCCAGAATCCTCAGAACTTTTCAGCGTACGGCACTGTCTCTTCGTATGACCCTTCTTCTTGCAGTAGGTGCAGAAAGGAGTGCCGTTCCTCTGCTGGCCACCCTGGTGAAAGGGCTTCTTAGGCTGAGGGCCATTATGCTGGCTCTGCGGCTGGAAAGGTCTCTTCTTCCAAGGGCCCTTCCCATTAGAAGGTTGCGCCGCATTGTTCTGGCCACTAGAGCCTTCATCCCCGTTCTCCACGCGACCCTTGGCGGCATTGAGGCACGTGCGGACGCTCACGTCAAGCTCAATGACAGCTGTTTTGAGCTCCTTGTACGTAGCATACTGGTTCATGCCTAGCACCAGCCTCTCGCGAAGCCACTACAGTAAGCCTTCGTAGAACGACGACATTGCCTCGTTCTCAGTGAGAGCGACAGTTAGGAGTAGCATAGTCCGTTCGAATTCATTAGCGTACTCCTGAACAGTGCGATTACCACACTGCATGCTCTTGATGTGGCTGCGCACTTCCAGGTCAGTCTTTTGCACATGGAAAGCATCCTTCATCGCGCTGCAAAAATCGGACCATCCGAAAGTGGCCGACGTTGCCTTAGCAAGCTTCATAGTGCTGTAGACTGTGTTACGTGCAGTCTCATCGAGAGCACCAGTAGCAGCAATAACACGTGCGTCAGAGCGCACATTGTGGATGGAAAGCATTTCCTCCACAAGATGAAGCCAAGATTCCACGTTCGTCTTGCCATGAATAAAAATCGGCAAGGCAGTGGGGAGCGACCCAAATGCGGATGCGTCAGGCGACATCTGCTGCTCTGTTGGAGCTCCGGAAGAAGTAGAAGGCCGCCCATTGTTAGGAGGGGGGCGATATATTGGTCCCCTCCTGAGCTCCCTATACTGAGCTTCCAGCGTCGTGCAAGTCAATTCAAGACTGATGCACATAGCACTTAGCTGCTGCAGGGTGTCATCAAGGCTCTTGATCTGGTTGTTCTTGAGGCCAAGAGACCTCTTAAACTGACGAGCCTCGGCAGTGACTTTGGTAAGCTGAGCCTGGATTGTTTCAATTGAAAATTTCTGCTCAGCAACTTGAGCCTCAAGCTCATTGACCCTGCGTTTCTGCTGCAGCAAGGAAGATGCTTGTTCGGTCACCGTGGTTTGAAGTTTTTCAAACTCCTCCGGGAAGTTATCATCTGTGCTGACATAAACAAGCCCTTCCTGCTCTCCATTCTCCTCCTGGTTTCCCAGTGCTTCTTCCTCTTCCACAGGAAGGTCTCCTATGCCATCCTCAGCATTAAGGTCAAGGTCTGGAAAGTCTTCCAGATCATCAACTGAGGTCATAGGGACATCCCCCTTTGGTGCTTCCTCATGAGGAGTAGCCATGGAAGAGTTGTTAAGATGAAGCTGAAGGAGAGTGTTTCTTCTTTGTTAAGAAAATATGATCTTAATAAGAGTCCTCTATCACATAAGTGATGGGCAAGAAAAGCTGAAAATTTCAGAAATCTTTTAATAGATCAATATTCTCACAAAGAGAAAAGTAAAGAATAAGAGTTGTTAAATAAGTCTTCTATTCCAAGAAGGAAATAGAGAGGGTTCCCCAAATTGCTCAAAGAGCAAAGTTAGAGGAATCTGTTAACAAATTCTTAGATCTGTAACACTCTGCTATTATAAAAATAGCAATGAGTCTTCCACCAAGAAGGTGGGCAGAGAAATAAATTCTCTTAAAGCTCAAAGAGCTTTTATATCTTGGAAATCCTTGAAGAAGGCTTCTTGATCTTAGGAGTTTCTCAACTCTTCTTAAAGAAAGAGCTTGAGACTATTCTAGATCTAGGATCTAGAAACTCCTAAATATATATATAGTTAGCCACAGAGGGCCAAGGATAACCAAAGCTCTGAATACCAAATGTAACACGGGCTTATAGAGAAACGCCCTTAAAAGCACAATAAAGACCCAGGCTTATAAATAAATGCCCACAAAAAGGGTCACTAGTAGGCTTATAAAAATGCCAACAATAAAACACACAAGGTAAACTAGCTCCTAAGATAGTTTTGAGTTTTCTAGACTTGGTAGTTGAAGCTTGAAGAGTGATAGAGTAGCTTCCACCAAAGGGATAGTTGGAGCTTAGAGCACTTGTGAGGGAAAAGTTCTGTACTTAGAGAAATCCCATTTCCAAAATTGATCAATTGGAGTTGGGAATGAGAGAATGAGCCTTGGAGCTCCAAACCCCTTCCTCAATACCCCTTGGGGAGCTCCACCTCTTCCATGGCAACAAGGGCAAGGAGCTCCTTAACGTGAGTTTGCTTAGGTGGCATGTCGGTTGGATTTGCAACCAATGAGAGCAACTTATTTGTGATAAGAATTGTTGTAACTTGTAAATGCAGCATTGAAATGTTATTGGTTTGAATGTCCACCAATGCAAAGGTTGGGTTGGTTCCCAACCTTGTTTGTCTTTTAGTGGGTGGTGATTCACAATTGTGGACCAATCAACAATCATCCCTTCCAACCCTTTCTTCCCGTAAGTCGCTACCTTGCGTAGGTAACGCTTTAGAGAGCCTTAGCTAGAATAGTCGCTAGGGTAGGTAGGTGATGCGTTACACTCTACATCAGCTTTTCCACGAGCAATCAGCAACTGTCCACCCTCCTCCCACGACTTGTCCATCCCTCCACCGTTGCTCCTCATAGCAATCAGTTGATGGGCGCTGCAAGCATGACACTGCCGTCTTCCGTGAAATTGCTCAACCTTTCCATGTCTTCTCCTGTCTTGCGCACCGTCTTCTCATCAGCATCTCCGTTCACCGCGCTAGAGGAGCTGCTCATCATTGAATGCAGTGAGCTGGAGACCTTTCCCGATTGCATAGGAGACTTGCTCCCATGCCTGCGCAGCTTGACAATTCGCTAGTGCTATTATTTCAGCCACCTGCCCGAAGGTTTCACTTCTCTAACCCGATTGGAAACTCTCATTGTCGCTAATTCTGACATCTTCACCTTACCCAGCAACTTTGGTCATCTGCCAACCCTCAAACTGCTGGCGCTGGAGGGTTTGTGTTTCACCGAGTTCCCTCCTTCCTTCTGCCATCTCACGTCTCTCGAGGCACTCTCAATAGTTGACTGCAACAAGCTTGTGCAGCTGCCAGCAAGGTTCTGCCGCTTTATGGCTCTCAAGGCGCTTTGCCTCTTAAGCTTAAGAGGACTTACCTTGCGAGAGAACGTCGGGGCCCTCGCAAGCCTGGAAGCTTTCAGGCTACACATCTCCCGGAAAACGGTTTCCTTCACCCACCTGTCTTCACTGACGAGCCTTGAGCTGGAGCAATACGGTGTGAACGAGCTTCCACAGGCCCTGGGAGAGCTTAGTAGGCTACGGGAGCTGAAGATTATTGATTGCTCAATCACCACGCTTCCTAGCTCGCTGACACGGCTTACAAGGCTGCAGGCCTTGGAGGTCAGAGGCTGCAGTTCACTTTCAGAAGTACCTTCGAGGTTGGATATGCTTGTTGGGCTTCAGAGACTCGAGCTCACAGCATGTCCGCAGCTGACTAGTCCCCCTAACGGTCTACCCAGTTCTCTTAGAACCCTCTACTTGGGGTTTTTCATGCAAGGCTCTTCCCACTTAGTGGACATCTCCCAACTTTCGCAGCTGAGGGTGCTGAAGCTGAACTGTGTTGGGGTGATATGTGGGCCTGCAGGGAGCAGCAGGCTGTTGTGTCTGCAGCAGCTGGAGCAGCTGGAGATGCGGTTGGACCATGGCAGCCAAGAGCTCCCAGTCCCCCTCACCTTGATGTTTCTCCCTCGCCTGCACAACTTGCTGATAGAGGCTCCCGGAATGTGCAACCTCTCGGGAAATCTGGGGGCAGCGTTGCCGCAACTGCGGCAGCTGACGCTGTTTCTTAGGTCATCAGAGGAGCTACCAGGAAGCATAGCGGAGCTCAACTCACTGACGTCATTGAGGGTGAATGCACCTCTGCTGACGTCACTACCCCAGGGCATGAGCCGCTTGTCTCGGCTGCGTAAACTGGAGCTGATTCGGTGCCACTTGTTGCAGCACCTCCCCGAATCTCTCAACCAGCTGCACTAGCTGATACTCCAATACACCCCCATCTCGTCTCTTCCTGCTGGTCTGCGGCTGATCTAACATCTTTGACTTGGCTGGTTGCCTACAGGTGGGGACTCCCTCAGAGGACTTGATTTGCTTGAAGGCACTTGGGTACCTGAGAGCTTGCTTGCAGGCCTGACCGGTATTGGTGTTGACTTGCAAAAAATTACAGGCATCGCGACCGACGGAGCGAGCGTAATGGTGGGGAAGAACAGCGGAGTGGTGGCGCGGCTCAGAATGTGTATACCTCACCTGACGTCAACACACTGCATTGCACATCGGTAACCCTGATGTCTATGCTCAGTAGTTTCTAGTTCGATGGACCCTAAACTCATGTATCTTGTTTTCGCGTGGAGGGAGGTACTTGCTGCAAAAGATGCCGCTAAAGCTGTCCCTGAGCTGAACATGGTCGACGATGTCGTCCGTGCGTTTTCTGAACTTATTGGGAGGAGCGGCGTGCAGTACCAGAAGTTTCAAAGCCTGCAACGAGTGTACTGCAAGACGAATCTGGAAGCGCATGGAATACACACCGTCCGGTGGCTGTCGCGTGGCGAGGCCGTTGCCCGGCTCCTCGAGGTCTTGCCAGCCGCCATCGTCGTGCTCAAGGACTACAAGCCTGACTTGTACGAGGTTGTAACCTCGTTCAAGTTTCATTGACTACTACGCTTTCTCGCTGACATCCTGTGGGAGCTGAACCACTTGAATCAGCGTTTCCAGCAAAGACAGGTTAGTACTTGTGCTCAACGTTACGCTTGATGGGTCAGTATAGTGACAAGACTAATGATCAAGTGCACTGCCCCTCACACCCCACCGTCGCTTCCTTATGGTTGATGCAGATCGACATCACGCTTGTGGCGCACATCGTGGAGCAGACGCGCATGTGGCTGAAGGCGCGGTACCTAAGCGCGGCACCTGATCACACATTCGGAAGCGGGGAGTACATGACTCTACCCGATTTCTTCTTGAAGCACCAGAAGCAGGACAAGCGCGAGATGAAAGCTGAAGGCGTTGACTCCGAGGGAAATCCGGTTTCGTTCAAGTTCGTTCTGCACGAGCGGCCATTGAAAGGGCAGGAACTGGAGTGGTGGATGCGTGATCTCGCCAACCTGGAGGGGTCGAAGCTCTTCCACACCGCCTCTTACCTCACGGACGACGCCAAGCGCGTAGAGACGTTCAAGCGCTGGCTGGGCAAACTGCACAAACTCTATCACGAGAAGCTGCCAGGTGTGTGGTGAAGCGTTGATTATCTATCTGTTGTGATCATGAGTGTTGCTTGAATTTGGTGCACCATCCGCGGCTTGTCTTCGTCTTCTGTTGGTCTAATACGCCCCCTTCCACCCGGTGTATGCTAGTTTAGCCCTCTTTGACCCCCACCCTGTACATCAGGCTTTGACTTCAACAAGGCGAGCAACGAACTGTGGATGTTCACATCCACACTGTTCAGCCAGCACAATGGGGAGGATTTCCACCAGGCGCTTTCGAACATGATGCGTGATGACGGCTGGCAACAGTCATTCCCCAACATCATGAAGATGTGGCAAGCCGTCGCCGTTCTGCCGTTGAGCACGGTGGAATGTGAACGCGGGTTCAGCAAGCAGAACCTGATCAAGACGTGGGACAGAGGGTGCCTCTCGGACACCAGCCTGGAGCACCTCATGTGCTGTTCCCTTGTGCAGTATGAGGTGGACTGGTTTGAGGTGGTGGCTATCTTCTGGGGGGAGAAATTGCGCAGGTCTACAAAAGACTTCACCGGCAGCAACGAGGGCAAGACCTTGTTTGCACAAGAGGATGAAGAGGGGAGTGTGCCTATGACAAAGTAGGTGTAGTTAGTTTTGTGGGACAATGATGAGATGTATCGACATTCTTAATGCAACACAACCACAACTCACTGTGTGCGGGATTTTGCAGTAACAATCAGTGTTGGGTGCCTGGTTGCACTGGCTAGATCAGAGTGATTTTTTTTTTATCCTTGCACGCATCAATCTTCGAAAAATTCACCCTAGGAGGCAGAGTTGGCCACAGATGGAGCTCTAATTTGTAAGGGTGAGCCTAAACCCATTTTGGGGCCTGGTTGACAAATAAACATGTGGGAGAAGCTGTGAAGTGAATTCTGTCAGGAGGACATCTGACCGTTCTTGCACCCCATGACAATTACCATGTGATGTTCAATCCAAATCTATGTTAGAGCCACGTCATTTTTGTCTCGGGGAACGGGGGCTTGGGGAATGGGAGGAGGGTTTTATTATGAATGCACCAGGCAACTATGCTTGGCAAAATGTGACTGTGAAACCGCGAGATTCTTTATGAAGATGCTCATGGCAACCAGCAGGGGTCTTGCTTGAGGTGAGGCTCCACTAAAGTTGCCAACTTCATCTGGGTTGTGATCAGGTGCGATGGTTCATGGTATGGTTCTGGTAGGTAGCTTGATGCGCCGTCATTTATGTTCAATGGTGTATGTTTGTGATGTGTGCATGTAGAATTTGGCGAGGAGTTTTTGGGATAACTGTGGGGGAGATCTGGTAAGTGAAAAGGTTGATATCGCCCATTTGGGAATCGTTGATCAGATGCCGTGGAGTCGTTGCGAATGGCTGTGGGATGGATGTGAGAGTGAGGGGAGGGAGCTGATGGGCAAGCCTGATGAGTTAAGAAGGTGGTTGTAGGCAGGGTGACCTCCCCTCCCCTCTTAATTTCTGATATTTTCTCCCCCCCCCCCCTCCCCTCCCCGCCACCCCACACCCCCTTCCCTCATGCTCCCCCTCCCCGCCCACCCCAACCAAGTTCCACATCTGCTTCTCCTACTCCAACTTCTGCCTCCCATGGCACGGCGCAGATTGAGCACTATCAGTTTTCTTCCCCACACCCTCTCTCTCCCCCCCACACCCATCCCCACCCACCTACCTTCCCCCCCACCCCTCCCCACACACAGCTCCAGTCCGGCATGGTGACCACACTGCTCTCGTAAGCCGGTTGTGCTGTTTACCCTCCCCACCCTCTCCCCTCCCCCACCTCCCCTCCTCAGCTCTGCACCTGGTTCTCCACACCGCCTTGTGGCTCACGGATTCTCACCCCTGCAACACGGGTGTACTATTCACAAGCAACACGCGGGCTGCGCGGTGCTTGTTGCGTGCACTCGGCAGCCACTTCTGGCCAAGGCTGCATGCATCTCACCATCCCTGCAACTATCCCTACATCTCCCAACCCACTTTCACCACCCCTCCCAGCTTTGCACCTGCTTCTCCCACACCGACTTCTGGCTCACGGACTCACACCCTTTCTGTGCAGGCGCCACTATTCACGGGCAACCTGAATGCTGCTGGGCGGATGTCCCGTGGCCACGAAGGCAAAGAAATCTGGGAAGGAGAGGGCGCAGGCGAACATGGGCAGGGCTGCTGGGTTGCTCCATGGCGGTTGTGTTCCTCAGATGCAGCGGCAGAAGGAGGTGGGTGCTTTCTTGTGGTGAATCCCTATGGTTAGCAACCTATCTGGGACAGCAAGCTGCTGAGGGCCCTGTGGTCGTGCTCTCAGGTGATTCTCACGTGACGCTCAAGTGATCTGGCAGTGTTCCAGTTGTCCTCTGGTCAGAAAAGGCTTGCATGATCCCCAAAAAACTTACTGAATGCCGCTAACATCCTCTGGAATGGCCCCCGCTTGAATGCCACCTCGATGAGTGCCTTGCGTTTAGGTGTTTTTTAAGCTGCCCTATACTCCGTGCATGCTGCATGACCTGCGAATGCCCGGACGCAGTGTCATCCAAAATGGTAACGTGGAAGGACCCATACTCTACAACATAGCTTCCTTCTTCCCCCATCTATCAACACTCCCCTTTCATCCATGTCACTCGCACTTCCCTGTGGCGCCTCCTGGCTGTCTCACCGGCCCCTTCCACCACCAACACATACCCCAATCACTTCCCACATTATGAAACAAACCGTTTTGTACATCGCCAGTTCTCCCCCAGCCCCATCACTTGCCGCCTCAATCTCACCCACCTCACCGAACTCTTCCTCTGACACCTTTTAAACTGTCCCACTGGGCAACTCCTCGCCTTATCCCTTCCACGCACTTCCAGTCCATGTCCTCCTCCGCTTGTTTCTTGCCTACACGGACTCACAGACTCATGCCCCTATGGCACTGCACCCCACATCCCTCTCACAAGCTGCTATACCCACGTCTGCCCCACTGCAAGGACTCAACCCCTCACAGCGCAGGCACACTGTTCACCAAGGTACTACTCCCTCCCCTCCTCATACCCTCTCCCTCCCCTCTCCCTCTTCCCCCTCCTCCCCCAATTCCGCACTCCTACACCAACGTCTACCCCACGGATTTCTGCCTCTCTGTGGTGCCGCACTGCTCTCACCCACATGCTGTCCCTTTCTCTTCCCTATCCACCCCCCCCCCCCACCCTTCTCTCGTCTTCCCACCAGATCTTCTCCGCACCTGCTTTTCCTGCACCGATTTCTGAACCACCAACTCCCACCCCCACGACACTGTCTCCCAGCCCCTCTCACCAACCACTGTGCTATTCACCCTTTCCCCCTTTTACCCGCAGCTGCTCCCACCTCCGCACCTGCATCTCTGACACACAGGCTTGTGCTTCCACTGACTCTCACCCCTAGGGTGCGAGAGTACTGTTAAACATGCAAAAGCTAATGACGTGGAAAAGGGGTGCAAGAGGCTGCAGGCGAATTGAAGCTGGGCCCCGCGGGGGACTTCAGGCGAATTGAAGTTGGGCCCCGCGGGGGACTTCAGGGGAATTGAAGCTGGGCCCCGCGGGGGACTTCAGGCGAATTGAAGCTGGGCCCCGCGGGGGACTTCAGGCGATTTGAAGCTGGGCCCCGCGGGGGACTTCAGGCGAATTGAAGCTGGGCCCCGCGGGGGACTTCATGCGAATTGAAGCTGGGCCCCGCGGGGGACTTCAGGCGAATTGAAGCTGGGCCCCGCGGGGGACTTCAGGCAAATTGAAGTTGGGCCCCGCGGGGGACTTCATGCAAATTGAAGCTGGGCCCCGCGGGGGACTTCAGGTGAATTGAAGCTGGGCCCCGCGGGGGACTTCAGGCGAATTGAAGCTGGGCCCCGCGGGGGACTTCAGGCGAATTGAAGCTGGGCGAGGCTGTTGGGTGCCTCGTGGGGGCGTTCTTCCTGAACGACAAGCAGGGGACCAGCATCGGGAGAATTGGAGGTGCGTTGTGAGTGATTGAGAGGTGGTAGGCTTGGCTGCTTGTGAGTCACACAGGCTGATCACGGGTGAGGCGAGGCTGGTGGGGCCGCTTGGTGTAGCGTGATCGGCTGTGTTCTTCCTCCAGGTCCAGTAGCAGGTCCGTCTCAGGACACTCCCAGGTCACTCTCAGGTCGCTCTCAGGTCGCTCTCAGGTCCCTCTCAGGTCGCTCTCATGTCGCTCTCAGGTCGCTCTCAGGTCGTTCTCAGGTCGCTCTCAGGTCACTCTTAGGTCGCTCTCATGTTGCTCTCAGGTCGCTCTCAGGTCGGTCTCAGGTCAGTCTCAGGTCAGTCTCAGATCAGTCTCAGGTTAGTCTCACGTGAGTCTCAGGTGAGTCTTAGGTGAGTCTCAGGTTTCTCTCAGGTCAGTCTCATTTCTTCTTTGGTGGGGGAAGGTAATGGTGGTGTTGCAGGGAGGTCTCATGGTGGTGTTGCAGGGAGGTCTCATGGTGGTGTTGCAGGGAGGTCTCATGGTGGTGTTGCAGGGAGGTCTCATGGTGGTGTTGCAGGGAGGTCTCATGGTGGTGTTGCAGGGAGGTTTCATGGTGGTGTTGCAGGGAGGTCTCATGGTGGTGTTGCAGGGAGGTCTCATGGTGGTGTTGCAGGGAGGTCTCAGCTTCTTGCTTGCCACTCGCTTCCTTCCTCCCAGGTAGGTGGTGAGAAGCGGGGCGTGGGAGTAGGGCAGAGGACAAGGCAGTGAGCTGATGGGTAAAAGGGGGAAGTGAAGAGAAGGGATGGCTGTGGTTATGCCCCTCCTGCCCTACCTCCTCTGACCCCTAGGGTGCCATGGTGGTTCATGGTGCATGGTGGATAGTGGACAGTAGGGGAACATGGTGCAGGTGGGTGGGGCAGACACGGGTGCCTTTTTAACCCCAAAAGGCCGTACGTGGTAGGCGCAAGGCCGTGGTCGCCTCCTGTGTAACAGATAGCCAGTGGCCTGGAAGTGACTTGTTTTTGAACTACTTTTCCAGGGGTGTGCTCTTCCAGTTCTTACAAATCAACCGTGCTTCCCACGTTCCCCACCCCACAATCCCTCTTTCCTACCATCACCCCGCCCTCTCTGCAGGGCCTATTCAGCAGGCGCAAGGCCAAGATCACCACTCTCATAACGGCTCCTGCTAGGCCCTTGGCGGGATCTCTGGCACTGTGCTCTGCCTCTTCTAACCACTCACGTACCCTTGCCCCCAGCAACAGCAAGGAGCTCCCATCGCTTGACTGGGAGCAAGGAGCAAAATCTGTGCAATTTGTGCACACACAAAGGTTTGCTGAATGGGAGTCTGCTGCTGCTGCTCCCCAAGAATGGCGACACGTTCTCTCCCCCCCAGTTTCAAAAGCCACGAGTCTTTCTACTGAACAGAAGCCGGCCAGTTCTTTTGCAAAAAAGCGGTGGCATGTTCCCCTTGTTACTGCTCACGGATATCTACGAGATGTAACCATGTGGCATAAAGCCACGGACCCCTTTGTTTCAGAATGCAGCTGCTGGATGTATGCGCTTTGAATAGGTGTATCTAGTTTCAGAAATTCAGAGTGGCCCACACATGCAAACTGAGACTTGTAACATCTCACAATAGAAGATATACTTGACGGTGCCTCATATACACTGCGAGCATCCCACAAGCGTCTTGCGTCCAAATACTTCACAAATCTAAGAAGTCACACAAGCATTGCGTCTGAATAATCTGCCTCGCCAAAGCATGGCAGAGACCTGATGGGAGGGAAAGCAACTCAGGGTAGAGGGTGCAAGGGCGGAAAGAAGGAATAGCATAAACAACACTGCACTTTCTGGCCATAGAGACATGTTCCAGGTCGGGCTGGGAGAGTCAATCAGTGAGACTGGGATTGCTAGTGATGGCAAATGATGCCAGGTGGTGGTGCTGATGGTAATGCAGGGCTGATGATTGAAGTGGCAATAACAGTGCAGCAGGATGGAAAACATAATATCAATAAATGACGCCTCATTGCTCAGGATTGAGCAGCGCAGTTTGCACCCAAGAAACATGGAACTTGACGACCTCTGCATTAGACAGACTCAGTATACCAAACCTGCTTTAACCCAAACCCGTGCCTTTCTCGACAAGAGAATGACATTTTTACGACTACAAAAATTTTCGCCAAAGCCAAGCTTTACAACCAGTTGTGGAAACACCAAGCATGCATGATTTTGATAATTGATAATACTACATATGCCATATCATACCACCCAGGTACAAAATACTTGTCTCCACTGTAATAATTCACCCATACTTGGAACTGAAAGTATAACTAAGAATCTACGGTCATTTATCCGAGGGATTAATGTACCAGTGATCCACATTGATTTACAAAGGCTACCACACCTACCAGGACACAAGAAGTCTATACTATAAATGACATGAGTCAAAACCAAGCACACGGGCAAACCAGCTCTACCATCCATGCTCTGAGTGTACTGCACACACCACGGCCATGCTCACATGTAGAAACCAAAGCCTACATGCTTGTTCTTGGCATGTCTTCATGTTCGGCACGAGCAATTTCAGCAGTGAAGCTGGAGGAGCCCATGGAACTCCCAACTTCCAAGTCGATGCGAGATATGGCCTCCCTCACATGTGCTCCGAATGCCTCCTTCTTCAACTTCACCAGCTCCCCCAGCACTTGAGTCATGGAGGGGCGGGAGGCCACAGGCATGGCGGTGCAGGAGAGGGCAAGGCGAGCCAAGCACAGCACCAAGTCATTTGGTGCGTCCAAGTCAGGGTCCTTGAATGCCAACACAGCTCCGGAGTCCACCAATGGGGCCACCTGCCGGGTTGAATGCATATGCCAATATGTTCACAAAGAAGGTTCACAACGGTTTACATAAATAAAAAAAAAATGAAATCTAGTAAAATAAAGCAACATGGAATTAAGAGATGGAACTAGGTGAGGAAGATGCTTGTTTTCAAGGAAAGTAGCGCAGCAGAGACAGAGAGCCGAATAATAGGTGGGTCAATCGTGACACAAATACAAGGTGAGTCAGAAAACTTCGGTATTCATTTTTGTCTCACTCGTCATGCTCATTGAAACATGTGTAAAGTTGAGAAAGAGTGTAGAAAGCACATGAACTGACCTATGTTTGACTAAGATTCGCAAGCAAACTCACTCTATGGTGCAGCTGCCTTTCTCATATCTATTATTGAACTACCTCGACTATCCTTGCGTCTCACTGTGTCTCACCCATTGTTTGATATTGATCTGGTTGTCCCCTACTACATGCACGGCTTTGCGTGCCGTGATGACCACCAGCACCACCACACCAAAACTGCAAACCAAGGAATGAACGAAAACATCAGATTTCAGACCATGCTTTAAACGAATGCACGCCTTTTTGTCAAACCGGTAGATTCATTTCCTTCCTCTATCAAGCGATTGTCACACAACCCATATCTCCGGTAACCAGGCATCACCATGTTATTTGATTGGTCAAACATGGCTGGAAATGGCTTCAATGTCAGGCATGGACTTTTTGAGCTGAAGGAAAAGGAAACATGGAAGCATTGCGAGACCTAAACCCAAACATTGAACCCCCTAGAAAAAATGGAAACTAATAAACACTTCTCATCCACTCCAAAAGCTTGCCAAAGTGGTTCTAACATGTCAATGTGCTCATCCGCTGACCTTCACACTTTTCGCATGCCAATATGCTAACCTGCACGAATTTGCAAACCTGACCTCTTCTGCTCACCTGCGCCAGTCTGCTCACCTGTGCACATCTGCCGCTGGAGTGGCCTTGTGAGACTTGTAATAGGCAAGGTCGACATAACCCGGTGTTCCCATCACTCGAGTGGTAGCCAGTGACGTGCCCATAGTGGTGCCCCCACCAAGCTTCACGAGCCCAAAGTCTGCAATTTTGGCCTGCCCCTCGTGGGAACGCTTCTCAAGGTCCACCACCTAACTCGATCTTTTTTTTCCTGCCCGAGGCGCGCCCCGTAGGCCGCCCTCACGTCGCGCCCTCCTAGAGGCCCCTCGCGCCACCCTTAGCGGCCCCGTCGCCGTCCCTTCGCGGCCCCGTCGCAGCCCCTCTAGGCCCTGTCGCCGCCCCTCTAGGCCCCTTACGGCCCCTACGCGGCCTCGTCGCCGCCCCTCTACGCCCCGTCGCCGCCCCTCTCAGCCCCTTACGGCACCTCTGCGACCTCGTCGCCGCCCCTAGAGGCCCCGTCGCCGCCCCTGGAGGCCCCGTCGCCGCCCTTCGCGGCCACCTCGCCGCCCTTCACGGCCCCGTCGCCGCCTCTAGCGGCCCCGTCGCCGCTCTACGCGGCCTTGTAGCCGCCTCTCGCGGCCCTGTCGCCGCCCTTCGTGGCCCCGTCGCTGCCTCTACCGGCCCCGTCGCCGCCTCTACCGGCCCCGTCGCCGCCCTTCGCGGCCCCATCGCCTCCTCTACCGGCCCCGTCGGCGCCTCTACCGGCCCCTTCACCGCTGAGCCGCCCAGCAGCTGAGCAGCCGAGCCACCAAGACGCCGAGCCGCCAAGCCGCCCAGCAGCCGAGCCGCCCTGCCGTCGAGCCACTACTGTTCCTACCGGCGCGCCCCGGCCCTACTTACTCTGACTGGTGAGATCACTCCCTGCTAGGCCACTACAGTCATGGCTACCCCCAGTGTCCTTACCTTTGATGCTGAGGGTCATGCTGTTGACTTTGAGGTCTGGGTCGATGACCTCCAGCTGTTCCTACAGTGCGATAGGGTAGACGGACTCTCTCTGCTTGATCTCACCTCTAGTGCCTCTCCTGCCCCACCGACTACTACTGACAGCACTATTCGCTCACAGTGGGCCACACGCGATGCTGCTGCCCGTCTTGCTGTGCGTTGCCACTTACCGACCACTGAGCGTGCACACTTTCGTCAGTACAAGAGTGCTAAGACCTTGTACGACGCTGTAGTTGCACGCTACTCTTCCCCTGCCACTGCTGCTCTTAGCCGCCTCTTGCTGCCGTACCTGTTCCCTGACCTTGCTGCCTTTCGCACAGTAGCTGACCTCATTACGCACCTTTGCACTAGTGACACTCGCTACCGCGCTGCGCTTCTTGCTGAGATCTGTGCCAAGAACCCCCCCCCCCCCCCCATGTACATCACCCTCTACTACATAGTCACCCGGCTCCTTGACTCCCTTCGCTTAGTCAGGGACCACTTCCTCTCAGTTTGCCCCACCACACTGACCGTTGACCTCCCCAAGGAACGCCTCCTAGCAGCAGAGAAGAGCATAGTCCCTGTAGGAGCTCCTTGTGGTGACCCTCGCACCCCCGTCTTTGAGGGGTGTTCCCCCTCCCCCCTTTTGCCCTTTGTTGCTTCTGCTGCTACGGCCGACCTCGTTGGCTTCAAGTCGGTCGGCGCTGCGTCAGCCCCTAGCGGGAAACGCCGCACCGGCAAGGGCAAGGGGGGCAAGGGCGCTGGAGGGGCTGGCGGGGGTGGTGGAGGTGGTGGTAGAGGAAGTGGAGGGGGTGGGGGTGGTGGTGGGAGTGGTGGCGGGGGTGGAGGTGTCGGTGGCAGCAGTGGAGGCGGAGGAGGTGGCGGCGGTGGCGGAGGGAGCGGAGGCGGCGGAGGTGGCGGGGGCGGTGGAGGTGGCGGAAGCGGCGGCGGCAGCGGTGGAGCTGGTCGCGGCTCTGCGCAGAGGAGTGGTTCCGGTGGTGGTCCGCGCCAGCAGTTGCAGCGCAGTCGTGAGACCCCGTCCCCCCAGCAGCTTCGTGAGTGGTACGCTGGGCGTCACCGCGGTGGGGGTACTGGTCCCTGCACCTACGTCCTCCGTACCGGTGACCGCGCTGGTGAGCAGTGCGGGGGCCCGCACTCCACCCAGCGCTGCTTCGGCCGCCTGACGGACGCATGGCGTTACCAGTTCCCTGACGCCACTGAGATCCCTCGCTAGGGAGAGCTGTCTAGGGCGGGGGTTGCTATCTTTGATCTTGATTATGATGCTCTTCTTGCTGCCATGTATGCTGTGTCTACTAGTGATGAGGGTGACTGTTACCAGTGTGTTCCGCCTGACCCGGGCATTGAGGCTGCTACTCTAGGTGCTTGTGAGGCTGCTGCTCTAGGTGCTAGTATGTCTACTGCCCCATGTGCTGGTGAGTCTGCTCTCTCAGGTATCACGTCAGCTCAGGCCTTACACACCTTCACCCTTGACTTGGGTGCTTCCTGCTCCTTCTTTCGAGACCGCACCACGCTTACGCCGCTTAGTCGGCCGGTTGCGGTCTCCCTGGCGTACCCTTCTGGGGGTCCTGTCCTTGCTAGCTTCTCCACTGTCTTACCGTGCCCGGCAGCCCCCTCTGGCACTCTGTCAGGTCTCTACCTTCCCTCGTTCTCTACGAACTTGGTGAGTGGAGCTGATCTACAGGATAGGGGGGTTGACCAGTTCACTCCTGCGAGTCAGCGGGTGACCCACTGCACGTGTGCTCAGACGGGCCGACACTTGGCCACGTTTACCCGTCGGCCTGGCTCGAGCCTGTACACACTGACTACTGAGTCTTCTCTGGTTGCTGAGTCTGGTCAGGTAGCTGCGTCGAGTCAGGTGTTTGCTGCAGCGTCCAGGTCTGTTCCTGAGTCTGCTCCCTGCTCGTGTTGTTTCCTGTCTCTCCTGAGTTAGCTTCCAGACTCTCCTTTGGCACCTCCGCCTTGGTCACCCCTCCCTGCCTCGTCTCGGAGGAATGGCCTCCCGTCTCCTTGTCTCTGGTTAGCTTCCAGACTCTCCTTTGGCACCACCGCCTTGGTCACCCCTCCCTGCCTCGTCTCCGAGGAATGGCCTCCCGTCTCCTTGTCTCTGGTCTCCCCCGGTCCCTCCCTCCCCTATCTCCGGGGCCTGCCCCTACCTGCGTTCCGTGCGTCAAGGGGCGGCAGCGCGCCGCCCCTCACTCCTCCGAGTTTCCTCCGACAGAGGCTCCGCTACAGACTCTTCACATGGACGTGTGGGGCCCCGCCCGCGTTCGTGGTCAGGGTCACGAGCGTTACTTTCTGTTGGTGGTTGACGACTACTCGCATTACACCACGGTTTTTCCCTTGCGCAACAAGGGTGACATCAGTGAGGTGTTGATAGACTCGATCCGCGCAGCTCGTCTCTAGCTCGGAGAGAGTTTTGGCTCGGACTTTCCTATTCTACGTCTGCACTCTGACAGAGGGGGAGAGTTTTGCTCTGCCCGTCTGGGAGCCTTCTGTCGTGCACAGGGCATCCGCCAGACCTTCACGCTTCCGGCCTCTCCACAGCAAAATGGGATTGCTGAGCGCCGCATTGGCATGGTCATGGACGTCGCTCCTACGTCCATGATCCATGCAGCTGCCCCCCATTTTCTGTGACCGTTTGCGGTTCAGTACGCAGCGCATTAGCTCAACCTTCAGCCTCAGGTCTCCTTGCCAAAGACCTCCCCCACCTTGCGTTGGACGGGGAAGGTTGGCGATGCGTCTGCGTTTCGGGTCTAGGGATCTTGGGCGTTTGTCCGCGACTTGTCTGCGGACAAGCTGTCCCCCCGTGCTGTTCCCTACGTCTTCCTTGGCTTCCTCCCTGACGCGCCTGGCTGGCAGTTTTACCACCCCACCTCGCGCCGTGTTCTGTCCTCCCAGGACGTCACCTTTGACAAGTCGGTACCTTACTACCGTCTCTTCCCCTACCGCACTACGCCCCTCCCCCTGCTGCCGCTCTTCCTTGCGCCAGGTCCTCCCCCGGTAGACCCCCTCCCCCCTCAGGGTCCTGCCCCATCTGGTGTGTCCCAGGTAGACGCAGTCAAGCCTGTCAAGGTAGCTATTTACTCTGGTGCTGCTAGAGGTGCTGAGCCTGCGGGTGCTGGGTCTGGAGGTACTGAGCCTGGGGGTGTGGAGCCTGGGGGTGATGAGTCTAGGGGTGCTGAGCCTGGGGGTGCTGAGCCTGGGGGTGCTGAGTCTGGGGGTGCTGAGCCAAGGGGCGCTGAGCCTGGGAGTGCGGAGCCTGGGGGTGCTGGGTGTGCTCATGTGGTCTCTCTCGGGTGCTTCGTCAAGGCGGGAGCTAGTCTCTCCGCAGGAGCTGCGCGAGTGGTTTGGACGGCGCTGGAGCCGTGCTGCTGGAGCTAGAGGCACTACTATTGCTGCTGGTCCAGGAGGTGCTCGTACTGGCGGTACTGAAGCTGGTGGGATTGGGGGTGCTGCTGGGGCTGCTGGAGTTATTCGTGCTGGAGGTACTGCTGGAGCTGCTGGCGGTACTGGAGCTGCCGGTCCTGCTGAAGTTGGGGCTGCTAAAGATGCTGGAGCTGGAGCTGCTGGGGGTGTTGGCGCTCGTGGTTCTGCTGGCGCTGGTGCGTCTGAGGGTGCTGGAGTTGGCGCTGTTGGAGCTGGAGGTGCTGCTGGCTCTGGTGCTGCCGCTGGGGGTACTGGTGCTATCCTTGCTGGTTCTGGAGGCGCTGCGCGGCCGCGGCCGTACTTCGTTCCGCTCCTTGAGCAGGTTCTTGGTCTCCCGCCCTCTACTAGTCCTGCTCCTCCCTTAGAGTGTCCACAGCCTGTCCAGTTGCGGTCACAGCTACAGCCTGCCTCTCCCCCACCTACTCCTTCTCCCTACACTGGTCCTACTGGAGGTCTTGCTGAGCGTCGTGAGCCTGCGTCTCTTCCTACGTCGCCTGTTCATGCTGCTCGCACTAGTGGTTGTGCTCCGCGTCCGCGTCCTCCTGCAGTCCCAGGCACACACCAGATGGCACTGCGTCCTTCGACTACTCCTCTGCGTGTCCGATTGCCGTCTCCTCCAGAGTCCTCTCTTCCTGTTCTTGCTGACCTGGAGTATGAATCTCTTCGTGCTGCCAGTCCTACTCTCACGCGTCTCCTGGCTAATGTTGTCACTGACCCTTCCTTTGAGTCCAGTGTTGCGTTGGCCCTAGCTGCTGAGCTTGTCGACTTTGCTGCTTGCTGTCGTCTGGACTACGCTACTAGTCTTGTTGCTGAGTCTAAGTATGTCTATCCTCCGTCCGTCGGGGGTGAGTGTGCTCTTAGCACGGACGTCCTTGAGGAGAGGCAGGAGGAGTTCCAGTGTTTTGCTGCTGCTTTGCCTCATCCCGTGTCCACGCTGATTGCCCCTGAGGGAGACCCGGATGCACCAGACATCCCGACTCCTCGATCGTACGCTAAGGCGATCAAGGGTCCCTACTCCTCACAGTGCCATTCAGCCATGGATGCAGAGATGGCTTTCTGGATGTCCACAAGCACCTACGTCGACGAGGTTCCCCCTCCTGGGGCGAACATCGTCAGTGGCATGTGGATTTTTAGGGTGAAGCAGCCGCAGGGTTCTCCGCCTGTCTTCAAGGCGCGTTACGTGGCTCGAAGCTTCAGTCAGCGGCAGGGAGTTGACTACTTTCAGACCTTCTCTCCCACCCCGAAGATGACCACTCTTCGGGTGCTGCTGCACATAGCCGCTCAGCGCGACTACAAGCTTCACTCTCTTGACTTCAGACTTGCTTTCCTATAGGGCAGCCTGCACGAGGAGATCTGGCTGCGCCGCCCACCTGGATTCACTAGGTCGTTTCCTCCTGGTACCGAGTGGAGCTTCCGGCGGCCTGTCTACGGTCTCCGCCAGGCGCCTTGTGAGTGGCACGACACACTGAGGACTACACTTGCGGCTCTTGGGTTTGCTCCTTCTACAGCCGACCCGTCGCTGTTTCTGCGCACCGACACCTCTTTGCCGCCGTTCTACATTCTCGTGTACGTCGACGACTTGGTCTTTGCCAGAGCTGACACTGCTAGACTCGCCCACGTGAAGTCCGAGCTGCAGAAGAGACACACGTGCACAGACCTGGGTGAACTGCTCAGCTACCTTGGCTTGCAGATCACCTGGGACAGAGCACGCCGCACCATTACCCTGACTCAGTCACACATGGTGCAGCAGGTCCTTCAGTTCTTCGGCTTCACGTACTGCTCGCCTCAGGCCACTCCTCTGCCTACTCGCCACTCGCTCTCAGCTCTGCCTTCGGATGAGTCCGTAGAGTCGAGTGGCTCGTACCCAGAGCTTGTTGGCTGCCTCATGTACCTGATGACCTGCACACGACCTGACCTTGCATATCCTCTTAGCATTCTAGCACGCTATGTTGCTCCTGGGAGACACAGACTGGAGCACATGGCTGCAGCGGAGAGGGTGTTGCGCTACTTGTGCAGTACGTCGGGCATGGGGCTTGTGCTTGGAGGGCAGAGTCCAGTGGTCCTCACTGGGCACGCAGACGCTTCTTGGGCTGACGACAAGGCTACGCAGCGGTGGTCACAGGGTTTAGGAGGGGAGGGTATGGAGGGGGGGGATAGGGTGCGGGTGCTGGGGGTTTTGGGGTTGGGGAGAGAGGATGGGAGGAGGCAAGTGGGTGGGGGAGAGGATAGAGGGGCAGAGATGACAACGAAGGTGGCACAAAGGGACGCAACATTCCAGTACAGCAGCAAAGGCGGGCCGGACGCATAGGCCGCATAGGGACACCAGCCCGCATTCCAGACTTGACTTACCACGATATAGAAAGAACTTAGATGATGTTGGTGGACGTATCCATCGCAGATCCACAGCAACAGGAGAGCACCGGGCTTAGACAAGTGACTCAGTGCAGATAGTTGTTGCAGCAGTTAGTCGAGTACAGGACAAGCTACGGGATTCGGAACCGCACCTAGAGGGATTACAACCATCCCCACATTTTTATGCGTGTGTTGCGGAGACGTTTGGGTTGCTAAGCGAGCCGATGAGGAAATTTTCTGGGGCTTTGTGCGCGGCAGATAGCACATCAGCGGAAGGAATTGAAGGGGGGGGGGATGACGGTTCAGCTTTGAGACTAGACTCACTAGACACCTCTCCGTGGCATTGCAGCGAGCTCAGGCTCAGAGTATTATTCAGCAAGTGGTGTGGCAGTTGGGAGGGTCTGGCGATGGGTGGATGCCTGCACCTAGGGATGAGCACAGATACGAACACCTGTTCGGTTCGCCTCAAACATGTTCGAGGCAAACCGAACAGATTTCTTTTTTCTTTTTGCTTAAAGTGTTCGCCAAGCAGTGTTTGAGGTTCGCCCGAACACGTTCGTGTTCGGGCCGATGCTGCAATTTGCCCCGCGACGAACACCAACGTGTTCGAGGCTCGCCCAAACACGCCTTCACAGGCGAACGGCGAACACCTGTTTTTTCTCAAAGTGTTCGCCGAACCGAACTCTGTTCGGTTCGGCAAACGGCTGTGTTCGTGTAGGGGCGAAAAAGAACATGTTCGTGTTCGCCCCTTGCTCATCCCTACCTGCACCAGTCCCTCTGGGTGTAGGGCAGAGCAGTTGGCATCACATTACCGGCTACTTTGAGAGCATGGCAGACATGCAATTCATGTACGATGCATATGTGTAGGCAGTTAGCAGCTGTGCTTGAAACGTCGTGCCCCGCGCTGTGGTGTCGGTTGCTGTGGTGCTTGGTCCTTAGGTACTTCCTTCCTTTAGTTTCTTCCTCTCTTATTTTCATCTTTCCACCTTTCCTTTTTCCCTTATCTTATTCTCTTACTCTTCTCTCCTTATCACCCTTTCCTTGTTCCACCACTACTACCTTTCCTGGTATCCTACCTTTCGTTCTCTTCCTTTAATACACCTTATCTTCAACTCCATGACTTTCTATCAGACATAATCCACAATACAAACA